GCATTTTGAGCTCAGCCCTCGAATGGTCTAAATTATTTCAGTGCCTATAAAATCATTTAAAAGACTACTAAACACAGTCCTTTAAAATTTCAAACGCGTAGGTCTTCCTGACAAAAAAACAGTTGGAAGACATAGGGCTTATAGCAACTTCCCCTCAACCGTTTCGGCTTTCGAGCAAATAAGCAAAATTCCCCAAACTTTCATATGCCTGCCCTCTTCTTCAACGCAAACACTCCCTTTTGAAAGAAGGGTCCATTCATTGGCTCCGCTCTGGCTGGCATTCTAAGAGCGAAGAGACAGCTCTACTGACAATATGCGCATTATACTCTCCTCACTGCACACATGTGCGATTCTCAAAGGCTCGACAGCGTCTTTACTGCTCTACCCCTCCTACAATACCGTATACCAGTAAGGATTAGATTAGTACCGTATCCCCCATTAGGGCCACTTCAGACCAGGGCTTTAAAGCGAACATCTGCTCATTTAGAACAACGCATCGACAGCGCGACGCTCCTTCTGCTCATTTCTATTCCACCTAATAGGTATGTGTCAGTCATCTAAAGCATGACGCGCTTTTCGCATAAATGTGTCAATGGCAGCTAATTAGGCTAAGGGCGTGGTAAGCGGAGTGTAATTAACGGGTGCGCGCGGGCGAGCGGCGGTATTAGCACAGCTGTCTACAGACAAACATACACACTGGGAGCAAAGCAACACTTGCCTTTGTATCATGCGGTGTCGTCGGTGTTACGGTGTCTTCAGAACGTGGTTCTTCACGTTCCGATGGCAGGTCGGCTGCTTCTGAGCGAGAATCGGAGACAAAGCTTTGATCCACATCAGATTCTTTTTCGTCTTTGGCCATTGTCGAGGTAGATGGGGTACCGAGTTCGTCATCTGTAAAGAGATTTCATTTTTTTGCTGATAAATGATAAATTTTTGGATTTTCAGCAATCTTCTTAAATCATGAGAATTGAGCTGATGAAAGCATCCCACGTTATGAATGTGATAAGGCTCACAGCGGGAATATATGTATGACAT